GAAGTCCTGGGTCATGGCTGATAAACTGCAGGGAGAGAGGGTGGTTAACCTTGTATTTTTTGGACATGGGTGCTTTGCACTACTTGCCTTGGATGCATCTAGCATTTCTGTCAGTGAGTCCCATCACAGGGGCTTTATATGCAGTATGTCATGTGGCTGTACCCTGTGAGCACGTTACGAGTGCTGCTGTTCTCCACGGTTCATGCCTGGAGTCCTGCTACAGGCACGGGGACCCTCTCCATTTCTGCAGACACTGTGGGGAGGTGAGGTGGTGCCATTGCCCTGAATGTTAAAATAAAGGAATAATGACCTGTGTAATTCTGAAGCTTTGAAGCTTTTCCAGGAGGAACTGACTGCCTTGGAAAAGCTTTGCGCTCACTAAGCTTCTACAGCACCTGCATGCATACAATCCATTTGAGAGGTTTGGTCACTAGAGGGAGTCACAGACTCTAAGAAATAAACAAATAAAACTGTCTTTCCATTGCATAAGTGTGTCACAGCTACGTCAATGGAAAGCCTCAAGATTTCCTCTAATTTCACTTTCAGTGTCCTTTAGATCCTTAGCAAATTTCCCGTAGCTGTGGGGATTTCTGTTTCCAAGCTATATATGACAAGTGAGGACAGGATTTCTTGTGCTGTCTTGGAACTAAATGAAGTCATCTGGCTGGAGTTGATTCAACGCAATGTCCCTGCCTCATTCCTCTTCTCATCAGCCCTCAGCACCGACCTGCATACTTCCCTCCTACTCTGTCTGATTTTGAGCACTCATCTCACCCTGCATTTAATGAGTTATGGAAATGAGAAGGGAAACACTAATAATGCATATCATACCCATTTTTAGTGAGCTGAATTAGCTCAGTGAGAAGTCTGATGAATGAAAAGTTGAGCCAGTACAAGAGGAAGGTAGAAGCTTATGGTCAGAGTGATGGCTCTCCCTTTTTGGAAAAGAACCCAACTGCCTCATCCAGCTATAATGAGTAACTTCAGTTGCAACCACTCTTCCCCATGCCCTGCAGGAAACATGCAGTGCTTCACTGGTACCACTGGTTTGTACCATGAGAAATATAAGTGTTTTGCTCACAGGTTCTTATCTTTTTTTACTTATCTCCGTTAGAGAACGGAGACTCAGTCACTTTTCCTGGTGAAGTGGAAAGAATCTCAAGAATAAATTGGATTCTCTGCTCACTTTTCTGTTTTCTGCTTCTGAACATCCATTGACTTCACTTGAAATAGCCCCTCATTCTATTCATGAGTCAGAATCAAACTCTTAGTAGGGTCAGTGGAGCTCTGCTGACTTGTATTATTTGAAACTGTGGGACTTTGTGCATGAGCAGGATATATATTGTGTCCCTAATAGCACAGTAATAATTTGTATTATTTCTGATACTCCTTTCACTTGATTTGTCCCAATTTTAGCTTCCAAGCCAGATCCCCTGCCGTTATGATGTGATCTCCAAGACCCATAGACTACAGTGGTCTGAATGAGGAATCAAACCTACACTGGTAAGAAATACAAACCCAGTATATTTTAAATTTGCATTTAATTGCCCTCCTGCATGTTTTGTAACTCAGGCTGAAAAACTTCAAAAGCTTAGCATATGTTAAAATATATGAAGGTAAAAATGTGTAAAAAACAGAATTATGTGTTGATTGTGAGCTGCTTTTCAGATCGAACATGAGGCGTTAAGAGGGAAGCTTAGTTATAGGTTTGAGCAGCCTATAGGATGTGGTAAGGCGTTTCTTATTTTTGGAAGGAAATGTGGATAGCAGCATATCTGGTTTCTGAGAGAGTTTTAGGTTTTTCAGGAGTGGAATTGCATAAGAACAATTAAAGCTAAGAGATGGACAGCTATACAGGAGACCACAGTAAATGCTATTTTTGAGGTGCTAGCCAATGTCATAGAGTTTATAAGCACCATTTGTCAAAAGTAATAGTAAGGAAACACTTTACATCTGAATTGCTATGGGAAACTCTGTATTCTTCAGTATTCATCTCATTCCAGTTTTTCGACTTGGATCTTACTCAAGGTCTTTGAAGTCCTGTGTCTGGATTTCAAAGGAAATGAGCTGGGAGACCTGGGACAGATAGCAAGATCTAGAGTCAGACTTCAGGAACACTGAGCTCCCGCAAGTCCACATGAAATCAACTGCAGTCTCATTCCACACTTCTGTAAAGCCATCCTTGTTCTTCTTCTACCCCCATTCCTACCTTTGATGAGAGTTTAGGAGTTGAAGTTCTGGCCTCAGCATTTTTCTTCACTAATATTGTTGATGACTGATTTACTGTGGCAAAAGCATGGACCAACAACTGATGCTTTTTCTCTCATAGCGTTAAAAGCTGCTTCCCCACAGTTCCTCTCAAAGCAGCAGCCACCAGCCTATTTTGAGGCTTGGAAGGCTACAGAGCCATGACTAACCTTGTTAGTCCAAGTAATTGGCTTCCCTGAAAAATTCATTGCTTTGTTTATGCTATATCTGGTTTTGTTTGGATCCAAGAAGTTAATGAGTGCAGAATTTGGTCATTATTATCCTACTTAATCTACTGTGAATAAGCATTACCTACCTTATATTTTCAGAGATCTTACACCAAGCCATTCCAGCTAAATCCAAGTCATTCATAAACACCTCAGGTCAAACACCAAAATCAGTTACAAATACTGAAGATGTATTTCGATCGGAAGAACAAATTTGCTTCTCTTTTTTAATATTTTAATAAGGGTCTAAGAAATTGCTTCTCAGATTTCTTTTTTTAGCTGCTGTATCAGCCAATTTGTGACATACCTCATCAGCTTTCTTATGAAGGCAGCCATTGTGCTAGGGCTACGTTCATTTAAATAACTGCTCTCTTTTTGAGACCTTTGAGCATTACATAGAAAAGGAGACTGGAAGAGAAGTAACAGCTTTTGCTTTTTTTAAAGTTTTTTTTTCCTCTTTTTTTTTTCTTTCTGGATTGAAAATATATAAATTTTCTTTCAATAATTCTGTCAAAACAGTTTTCATTTTCCTTTGCTTTCAACAATGATGGCAAAGCAGCAGATGGAGGGGACTGCAGAGTGCTGGGTTTGTATCACACTTCACCAGCAGAGGTCAGGCTGAAACTCCTATTTATTTGTGATTCTGACCTGTTTTATTCAGACAAACTTTCATCTTAGTAACTGGAAGTGCAAAAGACTTAAAGGACATCTACTGCCTTCCTTCTGTTCCTGGGAGATTGTATCCTTCCAGAGTATTTTCTCGCTGTCTGTTTTCTGGTTCTGCTGATACTCTTCAGAAGCAGGAGAGTGCAGCACAACAGATATGAAGACTTTCCTGATAATCAATCTGGAATTACCCTTTCTTTTCATCTCAGCACTCATATCATACTTCCCGTGTGACACCCCAAGTCTAAGCATATAAAAGGGTGTATTTCTGAAGGGGAAGATTTTGTCTTACACAGATTAACCCAGACAAGTTACAAGCAGATTGTACAAGCAGCAGCTGATTTTCAGGACACCAAACAGGTGATCTTTAGGGTGACAATGCAGAAATGTCAAATGCTTGCTCTTGTAGCAACTGTGAATGCCTAGATGATGAAGTGAGTAATGAAACCTTCAATGGTACAAGACACAAAGGGTGATAAGTTCAGAATCTCTACAAATATCCCCACTTTTCCCTCAACCTTCTCACCTCCCTTGCTGTGTGATAGGTAAAGCAGCACTACTGCTGTGTAATACCAAGGCCAATCTCACTCATAGCCTAATCTAGCCTACTGAACAGTTTGTGCCACTGCAGCCTTGCAAAGCTATTCAAAACTCTTTAGTTCTTTACAGTTCTAGGTGCTCAGTTCCATTAGATACTAAAGCCCATGTAGAAGGAAGTTGCCACAACAGCAACCTGGCTTGTGGTAGGAGAAGCTGACCAATGTACTACGGAAGCTCAGCACCTCCATCTTGTGAGAGCACCACTGTGTTCCACCATAGCTGAAGACCCTGAGCAAATTAGAGGCAAATGGTTAACTAAGGAGCACAACAAATAGAGCGCAGAAAATAAGCCTTACAGCAATGGAAGTCAGAGGTTTGTCCATTACCAGGGTTTAACTGTCGTCTGAGCAGCAAAGTGTTGTCTGTGACTGTTGTGTGGTCCTAGGCTTGGATCCTGTGTTCTGAGTCCTTAGGCACAAGACAGTTAGAGGTAAACTGGATCAGATCAGACTTTCTTCTGTCATACTAGGTTAATGTGTTTCATCAACTCCAGGGAGTGCCTGAGGAATAGCAGGATAGTCACACACCTAGCCTGCTCAATCTGTAGTTGCCCAAATGACTGGCAGTCAATCAGTCTGCACTGAGAGATGCTTATAGCTGCCTTGGATGCTTATAGCTTGCCTTGCTCAATCTGGTAGGAACTGAAATGAGGCTATAGGATCATATCACATTAACTGCAAGATATTCTGATGATCTGCAGTGGATTTGAGCCAGTAATTTAGAGTTGATTTGCTCAACACTTTTAACAGTCATGGATCTTGGCTATGGTAATGTAATTTTACAGTGGTACTGAGGACCCTGCCAATAGATGTTTGGCTCCTCTTGTATCTTGTTATCAGCCAGGAAGCTGATAATGACTAAATCCTGATTTTCTCAGTATCACACTTGCAGAGAATCGTATCTAACCTTTATATGCTCCCTGTCACAACTAGACCAGAGAAACCAACTGGAATCCCATTACTCCCACTTTGTCCAGAGACCAACTCATTAGCTGTGTGACTTGTTAAACACAATTCTGTCAAACTTTGTTCTTCAGCTCACATTACTCATATATTAATTAAAGAAACTTCTACTTGCTCCCTTCAGGATCGTTATATCTCTCTGCATTTATGCTGTGGCAGCAAAAGCTAAAGCTTGGATTGTAATCACAAAGAAATTAACTTGCTGATTAAAAATAGTCCTTTAAGCAACATGCATTTGAATAATCCATCATAAAAACAAATTAGTCTGGAGCAATACTTTTGACTTGATAATCTTTTTTTCTGCTTAAAATTTAAATCAATTGCATTTTTTTCTCTTATTCTGGTGCCTATAGAAAAATACAATGAATTGCTAAAAAGAAGGCAATAGTTCAAACTGCAATAGCTGTAGTGTTGAATATAGATTTTAGATCTGTCGCTGCAAGATAGATTTGTATGTCATAGTCCTAATTTTCAGCTGTGGTGCCTTCAGGCAACTGCACTGACATTAGATATATTACACAAAATGCAAGTTAATGCAGAAAATTTGCTTTTATATATTTGCAAAGAATTTTGAAGATGAAAGAGATGCACATGCCAGAGCTGATTGAGTTTTTCTTGAGGTCTGTAGAGAGGGTCCTGGTCCAGGAGCTGCTGGATCAGGTCTGAATGAATGCAGCAGAACTTTGCTTACAGGTAAGCACTTGGAAATAATGTCATTACAGTCATTTTAAGTTTTGCATTTCTCTCTCCAACTATATGCAGAGTGAGCTATTAACAGTTCAGAATAGGTGCTTACTTTCAGACAAAGTTCCTCAGTTTATGGCTACTAACACTACTGGCTGTGGGAGGAATACAAGAAATAAGAAAAGATTTATGTGGCTGGAGAAAATTGAAAAAAGATGCATTTAATTTATATGAAAATATGTGAGAATATGTAACTGAAGAAGAAAACAAATTCAAATCTCCTTGCTCTGCCATTTTCCCCCATTACAATTTCACTTTTCTGGATGCTTTTACAGACAGCAGTAACTGAGATCTTTCATCCACATCCCATGCTGCAAACCCTCCACATTTCTCTTTTTAAAAAAACAGCCTCCATCACTATTGGTCTCAGCATTAGTAACCTGATTTTCCTCACCTTTTGGTCCAGGTAAAATAGTGTGTGTCGAGCAGACATCTGTTGTAGGTCGATTGTCAACATCAAAACCAAAAATCTGAACTTGGAAGATGAAAAGCACTACTAGGGTCCCATATTTCCTTAGCTGTTGTTCTTTCTTTCTGCTCATCCTTGCAGCTTCTCAGGAAATGCCTTTCGTTGTTACAGTCTTAACAAATGCAGCTGAATCAAAAATAAATGCTCTGCTAACTAAAGCAGTGCAAAGATTGAGAGCTACATGCAAGAACAGCTAAATAAAGTGAAGAAAGGAGTTTGACGATGCTGTAGTTATTTCTGTCCTGCACATTATCCAGGATATTTATTTTACACTGACAGCTGTTTATTCCAATTTATCTCTTATCTGTGAGAAGTTTAGCTGTTTTTGCCTTGGAAAATTTCTTCAATATACGGGGATAATCTTTTTTATCATTTGTTTTTCTTTTTGGCACTGATTCTTCATGCCCAGCTTTTCACTCAAGAGACAAAAGACTGTGGTATTTTATCCAAGTGGATACTAATTAGTAATAAGACACTTGTAGCTGTTCTTTTGCTGTAAAAATAATTCAGATTCCTTATAATGAGTGAAGAGACTTCCATGAGAGCTTTCTGCCAAGGAGTTCTTTAGGGATGATGGACTAGCTCCTAGTCCACTGTGGGTGGATGTCTATGGTGCAGTTTGCTTTTGGATGCCATCTACCAGAAGCCACCATATGAGGGATAAAAGTTTGATGTTAACAACAGATTTTTGAGCCAAAAACCCACAAATGATGGTTTTATGTTTACCAATTTTTCCACAGTGTTTTTTTCCAAGCCCAAATTCTGTTATTAGACACAGTACTGAAGGACAAACTACAACGTTAAATCCAGAGTAGGGTGAGATTGAATGAGTGCAGAATGTCCTCCCATACCATCTTTCTCCTCTACTCACAAACTAGGAGAGACCATATATCAGGATAATGGTATAGCACATACCTCAAGGCCATACTGTCTTTGCTTTTTTTCCTGGGTTGCCATGGAAGATGTCACTGTTTCAAATCTGCATGAGCTAGCTGTCAATTTTTCAGCAGGATGCTGGGACTTTGAAAGTAGGAGTAGGAGCCCTCAAGCATAGAGGAATGAGTAGCATGCAACACCAATATGTATCGTTTTGGAAGGAACTGTCACAGCTATCCATCCATGTGAAATCTCCTCCTGGAGCAGCCTCCAGCTTTTCCTTAGTAAGAACACAGTAACAGGGAAGCATAAAAGAGATGACTGTTTATAATCTGTCCAGGAATTTCATTAACTTCTGATTTCTTACAGAATGAAGCAGGGCAACTCTTTAGTACTGCCTGAGTACTTTTAGTGCGTGTATTTGTTTTCCATCTCAGATAAAAAAAATGCATTTCCTGTAATAATAGCTTTTGAGATGTCTTTCTCATTATTTTAGACAATATTAGTTCCTTAGTTTCACACATTAGTCTGTCAGTAGACAGAAAAAATAGCAATACTGGTGTGAAAGTGGCTAACTTTTCTTAAAGGTATTGCAGAAAGGCTTTGATTTCAAGCTGTTATGTGGGATGAAATTTGGCCAGAGCCCAAGGAAGGGTCAAGAGGCTCCTCTCCCTCTTTCTTTCTATCCTGGTCACAGTCTGTTTCACTTTTCAAAACTCTTTTGTTGAACTATGTACAGTAGTTTTCATAAATAAATAGTGGTCTCATCCCTAAAAATGTAATCTAACTAACACCTTCAAATGTGGCCTTGATAACAGATACACCACAGCTACAGAAGTGAATGCTGGGATTAGAGATGGATAGAGCTGTACCAAGAATAAACTTGTTCCTCTGTGATTTGCGCTGGGCACTGTGCCTCTGACTTGTACACTGTAAATCTGCTTTATTTATCTTCTTCTTCTCTTCACTTTCCATTTTGTGACCAGAAGGTCAATGTAAGAGCAAGAATAGAGAGGGTGTAGGAGTGGGAAGCTAGTGTACTTAGCTTTGGAGGAGGCATTTTGGGAAATGTTGCCAAAATGACGTGAATGATGCTATCTGTTCCACAATGCTGTGAGACTTCAGAGTTTTTGTTATTTATCAGTGATAAAGGGGGATATGTTTAAATAAGGGAGGAAACCAGTCATTTAACCAGTTAAGTTACTGACTGGGACAAAACAGATAGCCTTTTTTTGATACTACTGTTGTTAACAATCATTTTCAAATGTTCTCATTCCACATTAGAAATGAAATCAAATCCCTACCATTTTTTTCCTCCATGAAAGTCACAAAAACCCTAAATACATAGTGAGTAATAAAGTTTAATACATACAAAAGCTACTTAAAATGTAGGAGATCAATTTTTTTCTCTCCATAATTCAAACTAGTTTTTTACAGCCTTAAGGATATATAGTCTTATTACTGGGCTGTTTGATAATCAGTTATATCTTCCTGTATGTTGGACCAGAAATCCTATCCTGAGGCTGGGAATCGGCCTTAACAGGAAATCCATCACAACATAATGCTAGCACAAAAGCTTGGATTTTGGCAAATCAATATTTATCAAACCAGTTTCATCGAAAAATCCTCAAGCAGCCTCAGCACTGATGGAGATTTAATGAGGCACACTGCCTATTGTGCATGTTAATTCTTATTGAATCAGGCTTTGGGAAGTGTCTGTAAGCAAGAGAGAAAAACAAACTAGGCAGTGTTGTCCAGACATAAAAGACATAAAACAAACATTTCCTAAGGCGTAAATGTTTTACAAGAACCTTCAGAAGGCAGAAAGGAAAATCCTGAATGATTCTGTTGCTTTGAGTCATGCAGCAGACAGATAACCTTTATTCCTCCTTGGATCTCAAGTACTTCCATGGTAGGTTGTTTTGCCTCCACTTGGATATTCAGATGGTAGTTGTTAAATTACAATAGATAGAAGGAGTAGTACAGACAACATCCTGAAATAGTGTTCATCAAAAGGCAAACAGGTCTACAGCAAATTTTAATAATTCATACAGTTCCTGACCCTATGTCACTGAATTCCATGGTAATACATGCTGTCTATTACCATGCGTTGATCCAACCAGAACTGCTGGAAGTCTGCTGGCATACTTTCTACCCCCAATATAGTATTAAGGAGAACTTTTCTGTTCCTCACTATACTGAATAATCCCGGAGGCATCTGAAGTAAAAGAAAAAAAAGGGTAACATTTCTCTGCTTTGGGTTCCTACATGGCTTTTTGTTCTCCTTGTATGACAAACTGATCACGGTGATTCAGACTGTTTCATGAAGTCATAGTAGATGCATCAATCATGATGGCAAAGCTTAGAGAGAATGAAAGAGGAAAAGTAGTACCGTGTAGCTTGCCAAATGTAGGGGGAAAAGTAAACCTAAGGCTATTTTATAAAATCAGTTTTAGTTTTGACACCATGCACTGTCTCCTTGATCCCATAAATACAGGCTTCACCACTGTTACTCCTCTGAATAAGGCATAAGCAATGACTGGACCTTAATGTGCTGTCAAATGGCTACAAAAAAGAAATGAACAAAGACAATAATTCTCCAAAATCTTCTTGCTTCTATGTTCAGTAAACGGAGCTGAAAGGACAGTAATGAGTTGGAGCAATTTTTCTTGAATATTTGAGGTGCTTTGTTAGCACCAGCAGTGTAGAAATAGATGTGCCACTGGTTTCCTGCAAGTGAGTTTGCTGAGTTTGGTATCTTGAGGGATGGTCTTGAGTGTTCCCAGGTGTGCCTCAGGGGTGGCTCTTCTGGAGAAACTTGGGTCTGACAGTGTCTTTTTCGGTGCTCCTTTACTCCTCTTGTCTATGCTTTCATCTTTTTACCTTTTAAACAGCAAAGCTGACCAGATTCCAGTTGGAAGAGCTTGTGTGCTACAAGCCAGGAGGGATGTGGAGACAGCTGGTGCCCAGGGAGCGAGACGGCTGCTCTGTACCAAAATCTCAGAAGGATCTTGGTCAGACCATAGATTGAGAGAGCTTCTGGGCTCCTTGTGAGGTGCTAAACAGACACTGTACCTTGTTTTTTAAACATCCCTCAACTGCATGCAACTTCTGCTTACTCAGGTAGTACTGCTTTATATCTTCATGCTTCCAATTTTTTTTGCTCTTTGCAAAAATTTACTGGCTCATGTGTTTTAAACATGAGAATACTTCTCTGACAGTTAGTCTGCTGGCTTTAATTTTACTGAAGATGCCTTTGACTTTACTCATAGGGCATCAGACTTCCTGAGAAGCCTGAGACAGATACCTATTGTTATTTTCCATACAATCACTCAGAGAATCTATCCAAAAAAGTAAGGCATTCAGATATGTATTTAGAGATGCGATAGAAAGTGAAATACTCAGTGTGGTTTGTAATTGTGTTTATCTAAGTGCAGCCTTTTCCTGTGTCAGAACAGATTTTTGCAAACAGGAGGGTAATGATTCAGTTCCAGGGGAAGACTGACAAAATAAACCCCGGCTTCTGCTGACCTGATGTAGTGCTGAACAGTGCCCTACCCTGGGAAAATATTTCCTGCTTCTTTTTCATAAATATTTATGTAATTCCTTCTGGGAAACATGTCTTCTTCAGAAAACTGAGCACGCTGCTCCCTGACACAAATTTAACTGTTTGTTTACACATGAGAGATTGTGGTCATTTACCCGGCCTTGGATTTTTACACTCTTATCTCAGGCTTTTAAATCTCTCCTACACTCCTTCTAGAGATCACATAATGCCTTGTGTTGTAGTGTTTAGTCTCTGAATTTCAAATATCCTCAGTGCTAACTCTAGGATTGGTATTTTGGGCTGAAGAAAGGAGAGCCAAATGTGATGTTCAGCCTGGAATCACATTTCTGTCCTACCCAGCTGTGGCCTTCCCGTGCTGCTTTGAGGCTGCTCTCTAAAAAAATTAATGCAAGCAATTAAACAGGGAATTGCATGACTAATGGAAGTATTTATATTTAGAAACAGACCTAAACACATTTATATGAACTGAAATAGAACTGGCATGCAGTCTTTTGCATCTGCTTTCTAAGCTTCTAGCTTAGCAGAAAAACTGAGCATGAGTTGCTGCAAGAAAATAGGAATATTCTCCATCATGGCAAAACAAAAAAGGTTGATGTTGTTCTCTTCAACATTTTAAGAAAACAGAAGAGTGACTGATTTTGAAGCACACTGCTGAAGCCTAGTGTGAAGTCTTGTGTGCAAAACTGAACCTTGCTCACCAGCTCACTATCAACGCTTTCACGAAGTGGTGAGCTTTTTAGGGTGCTGCAGAGAAAGCTGTGTGATGGTAGGAGACATTCAGAGGAAAAGGCAAACATCAAGCTTGTGCCCAGGGTACAATGCATGTGAATAAATGGTACCCAGGTCCTGTGCTGACCTATGCATTTCGTATGAAACCTGTTTGTCTTGAGCACTGACAAAACTTAAAAGCACAAGCTTATAGTCCTATAGGGGGTCTCAGTTCTTAGTCTTCTGCTCCTGTTATTCAGCTGTGGCGGTTGCATTACTCATTTGACCTTCTAATTGAACACATATTTATAGATCATACAGATTTACAGAGTATTTCTTCCCCTCTCTCCCCTCTTCACTTCAAACTCTGCCACATACTTTCCAAACACAGCTAGAGCCAAGCAGCTTTTTCCACTTTCTTCAGCACTTTGCAAAGAAAGAGACAAATGAAACCAGGAAACTAGGGAGCAGCTACCTGCCCTGGAGGATTCATGAACTCTCTGGTAAAAGGCAAAGGCAAGCCTACAAGGAAGCTAGCAGGAGGGGGCATAATAAAAAGGATCCACAGGAGGCCAGAGGAATCTTGAAGACCTCCTTCTTAGCCCATGGGCATGTAATATGTACACAGTTTGAAACAGGCATTCATGATGTTTTTTCTGCTGTCCTGCTGAACACCTCCAGTGACAACAGAGGCTGCCTATTGCTTCTGAGGGACTGCCTTGCTGCTCTAAGAGCCCCTGCTCTGCTCACTGCCTGAAGCCTGCTACCAAATGTGTGCAGACATCTGCTGTCCTGCTCAGTGAACTCTCTCCTACCTTCTGTACTGCTTCCTTGGTGTCTGGGGATGCACAGTATTGTGTAACATGTATGGTAATGTTGGTTTCATGTCTGTGTGGGTGTGTTTCTGGCAAGTAAAAGAAAAATTTGAAACTCATTCTCCCACCTTCCTACTTATTGTATTGGCTGCCAGACTGTTTGGCAGTGAAGGGGAGGAGTGTGATGAAAGTGGCATACTTTCTGCTTGACAAAAAAACCTTCACCTGGTCCATACTCAGAAAGCAGTATTGTTAAACTTGACAAATTAAATGTTAAACTTAAACAAATTAGACATTTTACAACTCCAGGTTTTGTGTAAGGAAGAGAGATTAGAAAAGGAAAATAGCTGGGCTTGTTCAGCCCGGAGCAAAGAAGGCTGTGGGGTGACCTCATCACAGCCTTTCAGTACCCAAAGGAAGCCTACAGACAGGAGGGGAATCAACTCTTTGAAAGGGTAGATAACTGCAGGACTAGGGGAAATGGTTTTAAGTTGAGGGAGGGGAGATTTAGGTTGGATGTCAGGGGGAAGTTCTTTACAGAGAGAGTGGTGAGGTGCTGGAACAGGCTGCCCAGAGAGGCTGTGGATGCCCCGTCCCTAGAGGTGTTCAAGGCCAGGTTGGATGGGGCCCTGGGCAGCCCGGTCTAGCATTAAATGTGGAGGTTGGAGCTTCATGATCCTTGAAGCTCTTGAAGCTCATGATCTTCCAACCCTGGCCATTCTGTGATTCTGTGATTATTGCTTGCACCTCTGTAGTATCTGACTGTTGAGCTTTGAGAAATGGAAGGCTGCATTCCAGTCCCCACTTCATATGCAAGTCTCTGAACTGTAGATATTTGTTTGCCCATGCAGTGTGGAGCCATTAGCACAGGATTTTAGTTTAAAAGTAGGTTAGCATATAAAGTACATCACTACCCTGGACTGGCTAAAAGGGCTGCTGTGACTTCTACCATTTGGAGTAAAACATGTCACTTGGAACTGCTGCTCAGCCATCCCTGGCAAGGATAAATTTGAGCTATAGGGCTTACAGAAAGATTTCTTAGTAGCAATTGTTCTGCCATTGATGGGAACGTGTTGTGAACTACTGAGTTTTCAGCATTTTTCTCCAAGGCATTTTTTCTCCTAACTTCAAGTTTGCATTTATCTCGTCCCCACATAGAAAGTGACTATGCTTGGGTGCTTTGCTTTTTAATCTGTCTTCTCTCTGGCCATAGCAACACAGATACAGAAGAAAGGCTCATAAATCAGCCCACTATTTCTCATCACCAAAATCTGGTGCATGGCTTTGTTTAATATGTGGGCTTTTATGACAGTCTTCAAAGGAATTTATGACTTTAGAAATAACATTAAATCAGTTCCAAGGACAATGTTGGACTTTGTCCAACACTATCAGAAAAGCATTATGTAGCACTGTCATTTCTTCAAGTGTTTTGGAGTTTCCAACTTTGTTGTAATGTTCACAGTCACTTTCAGACCAAGGGATAGGAAATTGTCACACCCTGCTAGGTGTTTGCAGTTTGGTCAGGGCAACATGTGGTGGGGTTAAACAGTTGATCCTGGCAGGGTTTTGTGCTATGCTATAGGGAAGAGGTCTTACCCTTAGGCCATCACTAGGCAGAAGGAATTCAGAATAAAGCTGAAGTTGTGAAGAGCTGGGTTAATGGTTAAAAAGCTGCCTTTAATGTCAACTGGTCCCTGTTTTTATAGTGCAGAAGAGATTTGCTATGCAAATATTCACAGTGCTGCATCATATATCAGATATATTTTCTTCCCAAAGACCAACAGCCTGATCACAAGAACAAGGACCATGCAAAGGGAAAGCAGAACTTGATCGCACGGTCCACCATTGAGAAATCTCCCATCCCTCTTCTTCCTCTCTTCCCTCTTCTTGTGCAATTTATGCCCTCATCTCTTGTTGACAGGAACGACTTCAGGCAATGGAGGAGACTGCTTGGCTGAGCTCGGAGGTACTTCGAGCTTCATGCTGCTGACACAGTCCATTAACTGTTGAATCTGTGCAGAGACTCCAGCCATGCTGCAGCATTGCTGTCGCTGGGCCTGGCCTCCTGCCTTGCTTGCTCAGTGTGTGTGCACGATTGCTTGGCTCCCTGCTCCGATGCCCATGCCATAGGATGGCATGGTGCCTGCTCACAGGAGTGGGAAGCCAACTTAATGAGGGTACAGATGAGCACTGCGAGTGGATTTAGATTGGCATGCTGCTGGTTGCTTCTATGCCAGTTCTCCAGCTGAAACTGGCCTCTTTTCTGCAATAACTTTATTTTTATTTTTATTTTTATTTTTAAATTCCAGACTGAATCTATCTGGAAAGGAATGACTGCCTGTTAGCACTAGGAAGTTATTCACAGACAGCACGTGCTTTCCTCTAAGGAGGATCTGCGGTGAGGAATGAGTCATGCACTGTGAGTCTTCCCTGTGTGAATGCCAGGACCTTGGTGCCACTCTCTGCTGACTCCATCAGATGCGATGACCATCCCTGCTGTCATCCCATGCCACGTGTATGCGTTCAGTGAGTGTCTCTTCATGTTGTGGTGGGGAGAGTGATGGAGGCACATCCTAAATTCTGAGCCACTGTTCTCCTAGGAGACAAGAGTTGACATTTATTGACTGGAAGGTCCTAGACATCATGGTAGAAGTATGATGGATTCATATCTCCAAACATTTTTATGAACCAGCAATTCATAAATAACAACAGCACACAATAATGGAGCAAGAAAAAAAATAAAATCAAGCAATCTTGAAAGGAAAACAGGGATGGGAAAACGAGAAGTTATTATTTGTCTGTTATTCTAATTGCATGGGGTTAAAACCAGACTAGAAACATCTGCTACTTTGATTTTATTGCTCCGTCTTTCCTCCTAAGTGGAGCACTTCAAGAGAGCAGGATCTGACCTGAAGTAATCCATAAAACTGTATTCATTACTTAGGTTTTCTTTTTGTGCTGATGTAAAGGTTTGGCCATTTTGATTTCCTTTGGATTAGCTGAGCTCAAGGGAACTCTGAAGGAATGTGCCATTGCTTTTTGTCCGTGGTTTTTTATGTGATGCAATGGATTAAAACTTTAATGCAGGCAGTCATTAATTGTCAAAACCAAAGATACCTCTAAACTTCTGTCTATGATTATCCCTGTTGTGCTATATTTGGGACATGTTATGGTTTCTATCATTAAGAAGTCCTCCTTTTAATGCCCCATAATGGTTAAAAGATAGCCACAAAAATGATGCATATGGACAAAACGTGAAATTACAGGTTTCCATCCTGAAATGAAACTACTGATGATGCACACGCCAGACAGGAATGACACAGAGCAGAACTGTTAGTAAACACAGGGTAAACTATAAATATGCTTAAGACAGACATCACGCATTGTTACAAGTGACAAACGTTGCACTAGAAGAAAGAAAAAAGATCACAAATCTAGACAGACAGCATTACTATAAGTTGTATAGCTGCATGATTCATTCCCCAAAGAAATCAATGTCAGGATGACATTTTTCTTCAGGCAGTACAGGCAACTGCTCGTAATTTGGGTAAACTTTCTCTGCCCTATAAAAACAAACCATCAAACCAAAAGGTAACCACTGAAACAGCTACCACTCAACCAAAAAAAAAAAAGTAGTATTTTAAACAGAGCACAACATAAAACTGCATGAGTCAATCTACCGTAAACTTTCGGCAAATAGGATGTGTCATAGAGATCAACTCTGGCGTTTCCAGAGAGCAGAGACTTATACAGCAGGCTTTTTAGAAACAGACTTCGCTCCAAATAGTAATTCCCTATTTTCAATAGACTCTGACTGGCTGCAACTAGTTATTTCTCCTGATACAGACAGCCAAAATAACGGACTTGTAAATAGAAGCCTATGGAGTTAGATTAATTACAGGGATTACATATAGCATTCTCAGCTTTTAAAACAAGAAGGGATCATTATGATGATCCCTGCTGACCTCCTACGTAACAGAAGCCTTGCAATGTCACCGAGTGATTCCTGCTCACAGCTGCAGGTGGTGCTGGGAAGTTTCATGTACAAAAATGTATATTTTTTATTTAACTATGTCCAGTGAGTGAAAATGCACCAACTAACTTGTTCTGGGGGCCAGTTACGCTAATTATATAGCCTGCTAATTCTTTCATTATGCATTCTGCTATGTATTTATTTCAGCATACTTAATGCATGTGGCTGTATAGATAAAACAGCGCATTAAAGTATCCACAACTTTCTATCAATTGTAGGCACAAATGCCAAACAGTTCTACATCTTGTATCCCAAAAGCTGAGTGATGGCACCGTGCATCACAGAGAGCAACCTTCATCCTGAAACACTGCACTTCTCACCAGTGAACTCTTTTGGCACATAACGATGCAGGTTTCTTGGTTTACTCCTTTACACTAGATAACAATCCTGAGGTAAAATGATTTTATCTTGTTGCAGCATGCAGTGTTCTTGACAAACTCCTCAGCTATTTAAGTTGGTGGCTTTAGTATCATCACTGTTTTTCATGGAAGGAGGTGACTGAGATGTTGGTTGGGTGTTTATTAGTGACTTTGGTTGGTCTATTTTGATGTTCTGTAAAGTCTTTGTCAAGAAAAAACTGAACTCAATTATTTGGTACAAAACCTCAACATTTTGCCTGAATATCCTTTTTGATGAGACATCCAGTTTGATAAAGGAAAGAGTCATTTCCCCATCATGCATGAGAAGATGATTTGGTTTGCAAAACAGCCAGTGAACTGGTTAAAGAGAGAGCTAAGATAATTCTATGTGAGTCAGTTTGGATCCAGAAAAGCTGAAGAGTTCAAGCTCAGTGCCACAGTATTGCTTATGCGATTACTCCCAAGAAAAGTTCAGGTCCAAAATGAGTTTTATCTGTATTTTTCCTTTCCCTGAGGTATCTCATGTTTTCAGAGGGTGGAGCATTAATTGTAATAGATTTCTGTAAAGCATTTGACTTTGTACCTCTATCTGGGGTAAACATAAATTCCATGATGAATGACAATAGTAAAGCCAGATAGCTCTTTTATTCCCACTTTTTACACTGCAGAGGCACGTGACATGAGGTCTGAGAAAGGTGCATGGTGAAATTGGAAAAGAGATGAGAACAACAGAGAGTATCCCAAGCAGCCTTTCTGTGGAGATCAGATAGAGCGAAAAACATGGGGAGTATCTACAGAACTAGAGTAAGCTTCCCCAGTGGGTCTTTGAATGAAAGGGTAAAACTCCAGAGAAGAAGTTTTGAAGGCGCACTTTCAGAAGGACAGTGAAGAGTTAAAGATCTGTGATGGAAAAGCAAAAAAGCACATCGGTGTTTCTCAGCTTTGTACTAAATCCTTGTGGATTATATAACATGAAAAACAGAAAGTGTAAATACAGAGCCCAGTCCCCCTCTTCACCTGGTTCACTTCTACACAAAGGCATAAACTCACAGTGTGAAAAGGTATATACAGAAGAACTTAAGTGTGGACTTACCGAAGGTCCTTCCATTCCAAGTGATTGCCTTTCACCTACTTTGGAAAGCAGAAAGAAAAAAAATGCAGGCTGCATTCAGAAAAGAAATTATATGTAAAGATTGCAAGATTTAAGCAGAAGACAAGTTCAATTTTGTGTCCTTTAATGTTTGCAGTTTGTCATGGCTCATAAATCTGTGTTATGTTTGGTGCTGAAATTTCTGAAGTTTGCAGAAGGGGAAATCACGAAGAAGGCTTGTTACATTTAATGTTTACAAACAGTTTATCTAATGTCAGCATCCCAACAAGGAAGCAATGGAATTTATTCCACCACTTGAAGACTACCTGTTGCATAGTTCAGTTCAGTGAATCATGCTGCAGAGCCATAAAATAGGCCATTGTTCTCAGACAATTCCACAGAATTTTACTAATTTGATTTGATTTTTCTTAAGACAGAAAATCTAATTAAAAAGAAGAACAGTCTAAATGTCAATCCTCAACTACAGAATAATTCTGACAGATCAAAAATTTGGTAGTTTCTTCAGTTTAAAAGCTATAGATGTACTGGCTCACCTAAGGGCTTTTCAGCTCCGTTGACAGTTTCCTACTGCCTCTTAGGGTTGGTGTCTGTGCGAGAACATGGTGAAAGCTACCAGTAATTCAAATAACTCCTTAAAAATCAGTAGCTGATATGGCTTTATAGACCATACAGACCATATCTGGGCAGCCTGGTCTAGTGGCTGACGACCCTGCCCATGGCAGTGGGGTTGAAACTGAATAATCTTTATGGTCCTTTTCAACCCACGCCATTCTATGATTCTATGATTCAATAATAATTTTGCAGATTGTTGTCTTCTACATCATTCCACAACTCTGTCTAAGAACTGTGTCCTCTTCAGCTTCCTGAGGGAATCTACCACCATCTGCATCAGAGATCAAAACTGCGCAATGCTGTTGATAGTCACTTGGGAGCTATTAGCATAACCTCTGTTTCTCTATCTTTTATTTTTATAATACTCACTGACTGGAAAAATGAATAAACATGTGACTGTAAACTGACATTTGGAAAATCCAGAACTTTCACAGAATAGTCACGCGGATGATCACTTGTTCTCCATTTCTAAACTTTGTAGTGGTCTATGAGACAAAAAAGACCTCCTTCTGGCAACCCCCAAAGGTGAACAAGTTAGAAAAATAGCTGTACTTGGATACTTCGTTTCCTGACATCAAAGCTTCTTGAGAGCGAAATGTGCTATTATGATGGCATTATTCTTTTTTCCTTCCTGTAAAAGATGTGGCAGATGTTCAGCATTCATTTGCGCGTTTAAAATTCTGATTCATTCAGGAAATCTGGATAACAGAGTTGCCTAGGATTCCTGTCATCCTGTAGTCAGAGGTAGCATTTTTATTCGGATAATCTGGACCAGCAGTGGTCACCCCGTATGTGGGTGTACACTGGAGGAAAGGCTAAAACACAGGAGGAAATTTTCATTGAACCCAGTGCACTGAAGTAGGCTATACCTGACACTGCTTTAATCATTGAGGTGGCAGCTGTGCTACCTGCTCATCTGGAAGCCCTGACCCATTTTTGTACAAAAACTTGTTACTCCATCCTGAGAAGTTCTAACATCTCTTTTGCTTCCAAGAGGTCTTTGAAATAGCTATGAGAAGGGTGTGCACATACAAATGTGGTAGAAGAAAAAGGAGGGAGCAGGAGTTCCACAGAACTGCTTTTCCAGAGATCTTAAGCATCCCAGAGTTCCATAGGAGCAGAGGAAAGCTGTGACAGCTTGGCAGCACCACAGCCAGTGTGCCTGTAGCTCCACTGCTGCCAGTGCAGCGGCACAGGGTGAGCCAATGTCTGATGGGATGTTGGAACAGCTGTGTCCAGCTCCCTCTTATGCCCTTCTCCAAGACCTCTCTTCCACCAGCTCTCTCCACACAGTGTGTGTGGCTAGTAGTGAGGCTTTCTCTGTCAGCTGGCTTCTGTGGAGCAATCACAAGCAGTCAGAACTGAAATCCCATTGATATGGAAGAGATGGGGGAATTTAGGCTTTCTTTAAAATACGAATTAGCAATACACACTTGAAACTCACACTTCCTTTATTTTTTCTTTCTTTCTATGAGTGGAAAATCAAGTGCTTTGAATTTGGGAAATGCCAGATATTTTTCTGTCTAGCCAGCTTAAATTTAGTGTCGTGTTTGCGTGTTATGGTATGATCTTCAGTTGCCTTCACTGTGGACTCTGTCTTCCCAGGGGCCCAGATTAAGTTCAGTCTGGTTACAAAATCAACACTTTGAAATTAGGAAGTATGAAACTTGGGCTTTCCCAAGTATCCTTCATTCTGCAACTTCTCAATTTTATTCCTAACTTCAATAAACAATGTCAAAATTAAGGCAATTGGGTCAAATGCAAAAATAGGATTTCCTTATTTCTGAAAGTTTGATTTTGTAAATGTTGCAGTCCATTAATACTCTTTTTTCTTTTTTGTAAGTAATGAACGATATAGAAAAATTCCCTTATATCTTAATAATCTTACAGGATCAGCAGTGTGAATGGGTTGTGGGTTACCAATACAACATTACTGCACTATTTATCAGTTCATTCATTCATATGCATTCGTCATCACTTTTCAAGTAACTGAAACCAAGGCTGTTACAAACTTCAAGACATTTGAATGAGAAAAACCAATAATGTTTGGGTTGTCTGTGGAAATTCAGCCTTTGTACTTAATAGAGGAGTAGAATTATAAGAAAACTGGCAGGTATTTTAAAATCAATGGGAAGAGAACCCCTCCAGAACCCAAAACAAATTATTAAGAAGTTTTAGAAAACAACTTCAGACAGAACAAAATCCAAATATTATAGACACTTCTAAATTCTTGTTATTTTGAGTCCTGCAGCAGGCTGCAGAGCTGAGGCTTGGCACCTTGCTTTTGCCCTGGTTAGAGACCAGCTGCAGATCTGGACATTCAGTGTTTTGTTTATTTACCAGGTTAGCCTTTATTGTAACCTCTCCCTTTCCTTCATGTGAATATCTAAAGTGAATCTAGTAATAACGATATCCTAGAAGTTCTCAGCTCTAATTTATTTTCTTTTTCTGCAAAGAATCCTTTGCTGACTTTTTTGTACTGCAGAGCCAGTGGAGCTGAAGAAATGCAGTTGAATTGTTAAGACACAGCCTTTCCCAAATGGCTTTTCTCTGTTGTAATACATTGACTAAATATGAGAAAGTTTTCTGCACCAACAGTACTTTGCTGCATCTGTGTGTGTTGACCCCTTACAAGAAGTAAAAGCTGTTTGCTCTAAGTGCCCAAAGGCATGTGAACTCCTGCTGTTTGTATCTATAAACTAAAGTGGTTAAAAGTGACTTGAGTTTTGAGAAGATATTACTGTGAGATATTTGTTTATCTGAAACAGAATGACACTTGGTATCATTTTTGGACTAAATGTGACTAAGCATTGTTTTGAGTATTAAAGAAACAGCCTAGCATCCGCGTGGGGAAAATTGTTAGGGGTGGTTTATATCATCAGCTGGTTTGTTTGTTACTTTGGGTTTGTTTCAGCAAAATGAGTGCAGCACTTTGTTATCTTGGGGATACATCCAGTCCTGAGACTGGACACAGAACACACAAAGCGTGCAGGCTATTGTACTTTTGTAGTGTAAAAGGGATGAGGCTTGACCCAAATTCTTGCCTTATGCTTCAAAGCAGCCCTTGTAGGAGAAATAGCACTGCTTCCAGATTCTGTAATAGGTACCACATGCATAAAGCCTCTTTAAGACTTATTACTAAGCCTGCATTTAAAGTGAAGTTTGCTCTGAAGAGAAAGTCCCTTGGGAAGGGCAGGTGGGAAGCCTGCAACATCTCCTCATACGTAATTTGGGGAAATAAAACCTTTTAATAGTCCAGCTTCACAGCTGGCTGATTTCACAGACTGTCAAAGATGGGTTCATGTGCTCAACCTTGAGCACACAGCCCTTCCTTGTCAGTTTTATGATGTTTTCCTGTTACTTTCAGATTTCCCTTGGCTAGAAGGAAATGAGCTGAAAAAATTGATTAGATATTAAGGAGTCTTTTATTATTACGAAGAACTCCTATAAAAATTCCTCGGTGACTCCACTTCCTTGAACACTTGTCAACAGACTGCCCAGTGGAATGAGAGTCCAATAGGAAAAGAGTAGGTTTAGATAAATTCCTTGACAAAAAGGTCTAAGTTAACAAAATTAAAACCATTCCTCATATCTTTTCCCCAGGCACGCATATTCTTCCACTTGCAATCCACAGAGAGAGGTGTGTGATACAGAAAGGGGAATTTGGCTCCAAGGTAAATTTCTCAAGAAATCTTTCTTGAAAATTAAGACCTCTGTGGTATGTTTTAAAATTATTTTCAATAAAGGCTGCAGTTTTTCTTTTCATCTTGATACTCTTCCAGGCTCTCAAGCTTCAACGTTAAACAAAAAAATGAGTCAACTCTGATTCAGTCCCAACACAGCACCTGGCTCTGAGAGCATCCACTGCTTGTCCTGATTCTTCAAACCATGTGTCCAACAGCTTTACCTACACAGCTACCTCTTTGATTTGCAGCCTTCTGTATCCTTGTTGGTTGGTTGGTTTGTGCTTTTATGTTATTGTGTGTTTGTTACTTTTTTTTGTCTCCATATGTGAAAATATTATAGGTTCTTTTGTAAATGCATTCAAAGTGATTTTCCAGTCACTACAGCTAACTTGTGGTAATTCTGGCCTTGTAGGCCAAACATATGAAAAAGATTGTTCCAGTAAGGTCTCCATAAGTTGATCAAAGCCTGCTGAAATTGAACATGTAGAACTGTTTGGTTGGTGACTGAGCTGGAGAAAACTCTCAAAGAAGGCTGCCATTCCAATATACGAAGAACTGTAACATCTCTTTTTCGGAAGAAAATGAAGGTAAATTTCAGAATGCCATGTTGTGTAGCAGTTTTTCCATGACATACAGCTATTTTACACTAAAAATGGGTCCCTTAGTAATAATTTATGGAATCAGATTGAAGCACCAGGACTGACAGATGCAACGTGAAGAGGAGGGCTGAGCAGTGCAAGGTTTAATGCGGTCACTTCACTACGTTTCACTCAGGGTGTAAATATTAAAACCACCTGAGTAGTTAATAAACTGTGGTGTTGCATTTTCAGTAGCTAGAAGTGTTATTATTCTGCTATTTCTATAGATAAAATGGACCACGCAGGGAAAAAAACCCAAAATTGTTGTCAAGGTGTAGTTTCAATGGATGTTGTTGAAAGTGGGATTTTTATTTTGGATATGACTGCTGTTTATGATACCCACAGATAATTCAATAGGAGAGGAGAAAAAAGTTGGTAGTCTTGCTTGTCCAAAACCTCCCTCTTTGGTTCCCACAGGCATATGCAGTTGGCCTACAGCTAAGTCTGTTGGGCATGGCAGTTTCTTGGAATATTTGATGTGGGTTTGTGGTAACTGCAGTAGAAAATTTAATTAAGAGGCATAAACTCTACAAATGGGTTCAATATGCCTACTGATCTTTCTCTTTTATTCTTTTCACTTTTCTATCAAACTCTATTTTTTCCAAGGATTATAATTAAAATGTTAAAATATTGGGAATTATTTTGTCACTATCTGTTTTGTACCCTATATCTTAGTTTCATCTTGTAGCAATATTGTTTATCTGCTATGCATAAGTATTTATAAAACGTCTTACACAATTTTTGTAACTACTGTAGAAAGAATCAATGTTTTGTTACATTAAATATAGGATTAGTATTGCAACTATTCCCTTAATAATGAAAAGTTGCTGCTCTTCCTTTAAAACACTCTAGCACTCTGGAATATGTTTCAGTAAGTTGCTCTGTGTCTCAGAAATTAATAATTTCAGCCTTTACTTTAAGTCATCCTCTACCTGTGTCACTGGATCATACATGTACAATTCTCTTAGCTTTGTTTAGAGAAATACTTTTGACAAAATAGATCCCATTTTGTGAGCGTGTTAATGAGAGAAGGAGCAATTTCTACTGCCGAAAGGCTGGATTAGAGTTTTAGCCTCAGCAGAAGGCTTGGTTATCTACAGAAAGGTCATTCAGTTTCTGTCACAGATTAGACTGCTTCCAATAGCTGTCATATATATTACTTTTTCCACTTACATCTGTGTAAGCAAGTAGAAGGAAGATGCACAAGACTTACTGTGTTATCAAACCAGTCTCCATTAGAGAGTAGGAGACCTCCACTAGGGAGAGTCTAGCAATTTTTGACTGTTAAACTCATCTTCCTTCACCAGAGAATTCATGCAGAGTATATTTCTGCTGTTAGAATACGTTCCTGTTGCAAATGATAAATCCCTGAGAGAAAAGTTTGTCATGGAAACACTGACTGCTCCTTAAATGACTATGAAACAAGAATGCTAGGCGATGCTTATGGAAAACAAGAGCATATTTCACAATCAGATCTACCAATCCTACCTTTATATGGACAAGAGGAAATTAATGGTTCAACTTCAACCCAAAGGCCATGCTGGCTGTAGTGCACCAATCACAAAGTTGGTCCAAGAGTTTAGTTATATCCAGCTTTCCAAGATCTTACAATCTAACTAGTATCAGGCAGCCAGGGGAATCATGGAAAGAAAAACAGTACCATAGGATGTGGTACTTGTGATTCAGCAGATGACATTCTTCACCCTGAGTCAGTCATGCAACAACAGCCAGCTTCCCTGCTGGGCTGCTCTCCTGCAGGTGAGTCCCAGTACTGAGGCTCTGAGAGCTGACTTCTGCATGCCATGAAATGTTGGTTGACATTTGTCACAAGAATAGCTGCATCCGTCTTGGGTTTTGGTTGTATTACAAACTGGGTAATCACCTTAACGTCTTGCCTGCTCTAATTACCCATGGTTGTTTCTTCTGTGCTTCCTTCCTCTTGCTCTGTGTCATGCTGCTGGCACAGTTGCAAAAGCTGCTGCATTTCTAGGGGTGATGAATTCTGCTTGATGGCCAATGGGATCTGGCTAGATTTCAGTGAGTGCTGAGATGTTTCTTGTGTGTTGTTCCCTTTTAGCTTGTAGCTCTACTGAAACAAAACAAATTATTTGCCTTTCATATTTTGAAAGCGGTGGAGTTCTTGTCAAAATAGGGATACCACTTGCCTGAGGTGCACTGGAGACATGTGCTGTACCAGTAAATAATACATAGCACCACAGGCATCCAAGAGCACAAAGTACAGTAGGGTTCCACTCCCATGTAGTTGGCTGGAGTCAGTTATTATAGTTTATTTCTAGCATATACTTGAAGCACTACCAGCTAATTGTTAGCCGTGTGTGTCTACCTCAGGAACACTCAGCACATGATCACAAAGAATGAGCACTTCACTCTTTGCAGCTTATTTTTTAAATAAGGCTTTTTGTAAACATGGAAAAATAAGCATTGCAATTAATGCTAAGGACCAAAGTTTGCTAGGTAATAAAAGCCCAAATAAACATAGTTCTGCTGAACATAAGTTGATTTTTTATCTAGAAGGCTGTAATAATAACTGATTTATTTTCAGTGGAAACTACTTAATCAAGTGTAAATTTTCAAATGACTCTGAGGCTCAGAAAATATACAACAATATCTGTTTTCAGTTGATTTTTATGGTGACATAGTGGAAAATCTGATAGAACTTCAGCCACTGCCTTGCTATCAAATGCTGCTGCAATCCCAAATGAACACAACTTGTTATCTGCTTGCTCAGCTGCTTGCTTTGCTTTCACTGTGATGTGGAAAAATGTTGGTTCTTTGGTAATTTTATTAATTTTACTGCCTGAGAATGGTTCTTTTGAAATTATTCTTCTAATCAAAACATGTAGCAGAAAACATTCTTTTACTTGCTAGAAACTTGATCTCGGTAAGTATTGAGTGTCTTTTTGCTTGGTTCTGTTGGTCTGAAAGAGCTGAGCACTCAATGACTCACAAGACACGTTGGCACCTGGCAGAGCCGTGCCCTTCATCAATCTATGTGGTGCCTGGTGGTTTCAGTTGGCAAAAATTTATGCAAACTGTTGCCTTTTATTGTATTGTACATTCCAGGCGAAATGGCTTTGCAAGCCTGGAAGCTTGCTTTGAGCTTCAAATTCAAGTGTTTCTGAAGCATTAATGTAAAAATTTCTCAAGGTATCACATGTCTTGACTTTCACAATGAAAGCAAACAAACGGTAAATTTCCTAAAATTTTGGTGAAAGAAAACTATGCAGTATCATTATGTTTGCAATTCAGAGCAGATTCAGAAGCTGTGTCAATATTAACGGTCCTTTCGATACAAATGCTGTGAGTTAGGAATCACTTTCTAGATCCCAATCACAGCACACTTCATTGAAACCCTGAAACAAGCAATATCAATATGGTCACAGTCAAAACTGTTTCACTCAGTTCTGTTAGTAAGGGGCCAGCCTGCATCTACCTTTTGCCAAAACTCCCACTAAAGTCAACGGAACTTTGGAGCACTCAGCAAGCATGTCATCTTACTTCAATTCCTCAGTTATTCTTTGATCATTTACCGATTCTCAATGCTGGTACCTGTGCATTTATGCAGGTCCTTTTAACCACTTCATCCAAACTGGCAACTTATCCTTTCACAACTACGAGTGTACTATGAGTACAGGAGTACTGTCTTAAGCACTCCTTTTGTGCAAAGACTGTAAGTGAATGCACATGAAACTATATCTCAAGGCAAGAACTTAAGCCTTAAGAATGTCGTTTTAAAATGGGCCATGAGTTCCATTTTAGGTATGATTTTCTGGAGCTAAGGACTGTCTGCATTGCAGAGCTGATTTCAGTTATCTTTTTATAGTCTACTATAAACCTAAATATACATTACATCCTGACATTATGCATAGTGGTACTTTTAACTTGAGATATTGATCCATATTGCCAGAGGGGCTAATCCAAGCTTCGGTTAACACAGCTCATTAGTTATTAACAGGACTCACGCTGCCTCCTTTTCCTTGCTGCTATTCCTTTGCTGTCTTCCCAAAACTTCTCTCTTGCACAAAAAGGCAGGGAAGTTTTCTCTCAATTTGCACAGAAGCATTTCAGACCTACAAGTTGTATGTCCAAAGACTGAGAGCATGTCCTGTGGCCCCACAGGGCTTCACACCATGCACAGATGGCTTCAATCCAAAGAAAGCAATTCAGGTGGCACTTCAAAGGGTGACCAGTACTGGATGTAAGCACGAGGATAACCTGAGCTTAGATAACGTAATAACAAAGTCAAGTTATTCTCCCATGTTCTTCAAAGTGTACTGAAATGTCAGTGAGACTTAATCCTTTTGTGCTCTTCAGCACCCGTAAAAATCAGACCACAGCTCTTTCTGTGCTGAAGCAAAATTCAAATTTTTCAACAGCAACCTCCAAGTGAGGAACAAACACAGGGAATGTTGTATCCTGGGACCTCATCTACAGGTTGCATATTAAACAGTTTCTAAATGAAAAGGTGGCTCACTGTGCTATAAACTAAAGTCATCATTTTGAGACCTACAGCCCACCGGAACGAGGGGACAGGATGGAGTGGCCTTTTCCAGTATTCTCCACCCACTGACCTAGAGTATGAAACCCACAGAGTTCTTGGAACTGCAAACAGTGTTTGAATTCAGACTAAAACTGGAAAACAGAAACAGGCCTTTTTTTTTTTTTTAACTTCTTCTTCTTCTTCTTCTTCTTCTTCTTTCTTTTTTTTTCTTTTTTTTTTTTAGTCACATCAGTCAATGCTATTTACAAAATTGGTTTATGGAGACCACAGGTGGACACTCTGACTCATTACACATGAATACTAAATATATCCGAGACGATCTTGGAAAATCCCATAAAGAAAGAGGGAATAGCCATCTGATTTTTATATTTATAACCTTGGGTTTTGGATGCCAGTAATGGAAATTACATTGTTTTCACAAAAAGCAGGTGAGGGACAGTAAGGGACTGAATGATTGCCAGGCTGCGTGTGGCTGGAAGGAGAAGGCCCTAAGCGAGGAGCTAAGTCACAGAGGAAGGTTTGTCATGCTGTAGTAGTTTGCCATTCGCACTTGCGGCAGGCTGTGGTGAGGTTAGCAATGCATTCCACAGTTGTTAGGAGTTAAGCAAATGTTGTGTCTTTTAGCCAGAGAGAAAAGCACACCTGCCCATGGAGCTGGCATAAAATTCATTACTGCCCTCGTCCTACATGGAGAATTTGAGTAGTACTGTCAGCCTCATATCCTGCCACACATTTCAGTCTCTCTGATCTTGAAAACCAGGAAGGTCCAAGGTCTGTAATATATGCAGGGAAGCAGATAATGGATCCCTTTCTGTTTATCTGACTTCTGTTTTGATGGATGTTTTAGTGCCAAAGCTTCTCTTATTCTCGCTGCTGGAGGAGAGCTATTGCTAGACTTCTTTCCATCCATAGGCTGGCTTTGTGAAATGCAACAGGATGAAACTAAAACAAGACATAGCATTTCTAGCCTGGAAGCTTAATTCATACGTAAGCTGAGAAACAGTGCATGTAAGGAGGAACTAACTGAGGAATGAGTTCGTTATTCTAATCTAGCCGGTTTCCTGAATGACCACTAAAGTAAATAAACTAGATGCCAAAATGCATTTGTTTTTACTTATAGATCACCCAAAAGTATACTGTGGGTTTTTGATGTTTCTTATTACCAAGATCCTGAGCCAAATCCTTCATAGACATTGCAGAGCAGCTCCTCACTACTCCAGTCTTCAAAACAGCCCCAAGAAAGAATTTCTCTGCCGCTACTGCCTTGTTGAGAGCAGCAGTGAGTGGGTGGCCACAAACATGTGCACAATAAGAAAATATCTATGCAGACTCAAGTTAGCTAATCATAATTTTTGTATTCAAAGCTGTATAGCAGATAAATATCAATGGTCTTCCTACTGAGATTTGGCTCAGCTAGCTGGTCCTTTATCAAATTGCGCACTGCTTCAGAGAAGTCACTCTTCTGTGTCCTGAATGACTAGAATTTAGGAAATAGAGATGGAAATACCCAGCTAGCATATCTGGCTTGCTGTAGTCAGTTCCTAATGAGCTCTGCATTTATCCTCTGTCTCTGTAATGGTCCTTGCAGCCTGCAACTACAGTACTCGTACTGAAAGTTTCTGCTTCTTGACTTCTTCTCAAAGGAGTTAATTCTTCAGCATTTTATGCTTGTTTTTCATCCATTAGTACTATCTACTTCAATAGGCTTAAAATAAAATATATTTTTTTAAATACTCATGATGTTGTTGTTTTCTGTTGAATTTAATTCATCACCAGACACAAACAGCACAGCACAAATGGAAAAGTTTATTGCAAAACCAGAGGAATGGCAAAGTAGTATCCTTTTTTTTTTTTTTCTTTTCTTTCTTTTTTTTTTTTTTTCTTTTTTCCCTAGAAGAATGAGTTTCTCTGTTTCAGCCTTAGGGGCCAGTAATTTCTAGCAGCCCTCTGTCTGCAAATCTTATTTCTGCATTGATCATCATAGTCACATGAAATTATTTAATAAGTATCTTATTGCCAAGGTCACATGAAATTAGTTAACAAAAACTTAGAAGTGAATTTAAGCCAGCTCATCTCTCACTGAAACATTCTTTTGGCTTAAAAGAACCTGCTGAGTTGTAAAAATGAGTAGCATTGGGCATTTTCCCAATAATAAGATAGCAATAACAGGGAAGAATGCTTGGCTATGTTGTAGAGTAAATTAACAATGCATCCATGAATTTTATATGTTTGTATTCTTAGGCAATTAATAATAATTTAGATCTGTGGCTAGTTTTAAGTTACTCTGTGCAGGGAAATCACACAGGTGGTCTGCAGCCTTCTGTTAAGCCTTTCAAAGAGCTCCCCAACAAAAGTAAAGGGAAATGTAAATTTTTTTGTGAAGGAAGGTGGAAAGAAAACTTTCAGCGGGTAAGGGATAATTTTGTTAACCCATGTTTCATTTAAAGCTTTGCAATGGGTCTTCATTTCAATCCAGCTCCATTCTGGGCAAGCTTTGGTCCGTATCGCACGTAGGCAGCACTATCGAAGATTCACTCACTTTCATGAGGCAAAAAGACCAAAAAAGTTTGAGTGTTTTGATGGTAAACACCTGAAAGCTAAGCTCTTCTTCCCTAACTGCAATATTCCAACTGTAGTTCTCGCAGCTGTCTCTCTGGTCTCACAGATCTCAAATTCAGGTTGCAGAGCGTCGTTGTGTCAACAAGAAGGAAAAAGGTGCTACTTACTCATTGTGTCCCATGACTCCACGGCTATGCTCTCTCCTGAGAAGCAAGAGCCATAGATTCAAGCTCTGTCAGAAGGACTATAAGTCAACTCTTCTACTTGGGCAAGGAAATCTTCCGGTTGTTTCACAACTCACTTCTTCCTGCTGTCTTTAAATGAAGGTAGCTGTGAATGCAGCTCTCGGTGCACTCCACTTGTGTGTGAGCACATCTAGCAAATCCATACATTTATGGCTGCAGTTGTCTTTTCTATAGATCCCAAACAGCCTTAGGCAGAAGAAGGGCTTCTGAACACAGATCTCAGCCTTAGTAGTGGTCTTTGTGAGTAAAAGCAGTAACTGGACTTGCCCAGCCAATTACAAGTGCATGTATGAATTAAATACAGCTTTCCTAAATCACCAGGAGTCAAAATTTTGCATTTTGTTCCTTTTTAGGTACTCGTCTTCTTTATTGCAAAGATTTTTGTTATTGAATTTGTTCTTAGACATTAAAAAAAAAAGCAGAACTATTTTGTAAGACTTCTGAGACCCAGAGTTCAACTAAATGAATAAGAAACACTGTATTTCAATAAAATAGAGCTGAGGCTTTTTCAAGAGGTTATTTTGTCTGCTCATGTCTTAGAGGCAGCTGCTCTATCATTGCCCTGACTGCTCTGCATCCTTCAAATGACGCTGTGTGTCAGCTAAATTATTAAACAAAAAAGTAGATTCTTTAGCAGTCGGTGTAAAGTTGGACTCTACAGAGTGTTTTAAACAAAGTTGAGACACCACAAAACTTCAGGTCAGTACGAATTGTTCTCTGTGCTGCTTCCACTAAGGAAAAACACACCAAGTATTTCCTTTGCTGAACACAAACATTCTTCTCACATTTGCTACAAGAGTTTTCGGTTTTTATCAAAGGCTTTACTTTTTAAACCATGACAATTTCTTGCTAGACACAGTGTATGTGAGCCTGTGTATGTGTTTGTAATTTTAAAATAACTATATTACACTTTCAATCCTTTAAAATTTACCATAACTGTGTTCTACTTTCATTTATTTAACTCCATTCTAACGAAGTTAGCCAGAAGTCTTTCTTGATCGCATAAGAACCTGAATAGAGTTCTCCTTTACCTAATTAATCAAATCAGGTAAGGTAACATTTGAGTTTGTTTTTTAGGTTGGTTGTGTTTTGCCACTAGCAAGGAAAGAGTCTTTTGATGACACAACACCTTCTTAACTTGCACAAAGTTATACTGAGATGTTGATCCTTTGAGTCCTCATCCTGTAACATAGCCTTTGTATCACTAGAAGGGAAAGGAGAAAATGCTGCTAACAGTTTTTCTGATGAAAGGAGAGCATGAGAGTGTCTCAGGACCTGTCAGTATCTGTTGTCTCTGTTATGACCAACAACACAGACAAGAGAGGACTTGTAATATACCTCCTGCTTGCCTGTTCCTGTAAGCAACGTTTTAACCACAGAAATGAGAGGAAAGGGAAAGGATGTGCTTGGGTACGAGAACCCAATTGTTCACAGCAGAACATTTTAGGTAACTCTATGAAAAAGCTCATGTAAGTTTCTGAATCAAACTACCAGTAACCAGAAACCATTTCCTCTGATTTAAGAGATGCATTTCTCCTGCAGGAGAAAACTCCAGCCACAGGGAAGTCCATGGCTGCCCTCCTGCAGTGCCTTCATTACAAACAACAAATACATCAAGGAGTTGCTGCTGTGAAAATCCCCATGCAACTACTGTGATGAATAATCTTCCCAAGAAGTGCTTCATGTCCATGGGAGCGTGGCATGGTGCCACTGTCTGAATCGAGGGCATGGCAGTGTAAGGCTTTCAGTGGGCAGCCATGCTTCAGACACCAGCATGGGCTAGGCCATACCACGTAGGGGCAGAGTAGGGCTGAGCAAAGCAGTGCCTCTGTGGTCCTGCAGTGAAGATGGCTGCTAGGCTGGGCCTCATCACTGTCCCCAAAAGCAAAATGTGTTCAGCCGCATCAAGAATGTAGAACAAGCTGGGAGCTGCTACCTTGCTGGTTTGTGTGAGGCTGTAGCTAAACTGAAGCTGGAATGACACCTTTCTCTCTTTCACTCTCTACAACTGCTCCCAAGCCATCAAGTGGAAAAAAGAGCTGCTACTGAAAAGCAAAGAGATTGTGTATGGAACTCACGAGCGCCGAATTCCAAAGATTCCTTTCTCTCAAATCCAAGCTCCAGAACTAATGATGAAGCTAGCATAGCAGAGAGGCCAAAACCAGAGGTTAAAGACCGAGGAACAAACAAATCAGATCTGCAGTGTATGCTGAATCCTGCTGTCTCCATGAGGTGGCTATTAAATATCACTAGGCTCAAATCCCCAGGGCCTGATTAACCTTTTCCAGAATATACAGGTATCTCATAAGTGAAATATGATAACATAATGCTTTTCATTCTCACAGAATTCAGTACTAGTTTCCTATGTATGTTATACAACACAAGTTATTTACTCAAGATTATTGGTTACATTGGGGAAATGCTACCTTTCTTTTAGTCTATTCCAAAGTGATGTTTTTTTTATATTTTTGCGTGAGCTGCAGTCCACAGTGAATAACAGCTTATGCATCTCATCTTTTACTTCCTTTATTTTAAATAAAATGCAATGGAAATTCAATACAGTGATCTGTATTTTATTCTTGCCTCTACCCACATAACTTTTCAGAACTGTCAGATCTCATTTGCAAGCTTCCCTTCTACCATCATCAGAAAATTATGTCAATATTCCACACCACCTGCTGCCTCCTCTTGCCACTTTACCTAAAAATCAGAGAAAACCCCCATAAAGTACATGGGTTATAATGGTTATATTATAACAGCTGTTGGTCCTGGAAACAGTGCAATTTGCAAAACATGTTTTCCTTAATATAATTTATGTGAATGGCCTCAAAGTGAAAAGGCGAGGCATGCTCAGTGATCTCACATGCAAGCTACTATCTCTAAAGTATAAATCTTGAAGGTACTTTGGAAATGAGTTGTTTCCCTTGGGTACTGAAAAGAACAGAATCATAAATAAGTCTGAATCCAAGACCACATTTACAATTTTCCCATAAGAAATATATTAGAAAATTGTAAAAGCTGAGAACTTCTATCTGAACTGATACCTGAGTTGATAAAAAATATATATATATTACAAACAGACTGGAAAAAAAACACCCAAATTCTCACAATGGAATGAAATGCACCATTTTTATTTCATTTTCTCTCTAGTTCCCTGGAATGTAGTTCTCAGATGTTTTACAATTAAGAGTCTTCAACTAAAAGATTAAAGCTCCACTGAGTTTTTGTTTTTCTGGAAAATCCTGTAATCAGTCAAATCTTTGCTCAGAAAAGGAGAAGGCTGTTGTGATTCCAGTGCAAATTCCACTGTTTAATGAAACTGAATCCTCAGTTACTGACAAGTGTAACCTTGGGGTATCTTAAGCAGTGCTTCTCTTGTAGATCATAGAATCATAGAATGGCCTGGGTTGGAAGGGATCCCAAGGATCATCAAGTTCCAGCCCCCGCCACAGGCAGGGCCACCAACCTCTAGATCTGTACTAGACCAGGCTGCCCAGGGCCCCATCCAACCTGGTCTTGAACACCTTGGGGATGGAGCATTCACAACTGCTCTGGGCAGCCTGTTCCAGCACCTCACCACTCTCTCTGTAAAGAACTTCCCCCTGACATCCAATCTGAACTTTCCCTTCTTAAGCTTAAAATCATTCCCCCTTCTATCACTGTCTACCCTTGTAATATGTTGATTCCCCTCCTGTTAATAATCCCCTTTTAAATAATGGAAGGCTGCAATGAGATCTCTTTGGCTAAACAAGCCCAGCTCCCTCAGCCTGTCTTCATAGGGGAGTTGCTCCAGCCCTTTGATCATCTCTGTGGCTCTCATTTGGAGCCTCCCCAGCAGCTCCTCATCTTTCCTATACTGAGGGCCCCAGGCCTGGATTCGGTGCTCCAGATAGGGCCCCGTGAGGGCACAGTAGACAGGGACAATCACCTACCTGTCTCTGCTGGCCAACCCTCTTCTGATGGAGCCCAGGATACCATTTGCCTTCCGAGCTGCAAGAACACACTGCTGGTTCATGTTCAGTTTTTTATCCACCAGGACCCCCAGGTCCTTCTCCAGAAGGCTGCTCTCAAGGAGTTCTCCCGGTGTACATATCTGGGATTACTCCAAACCAAGATGATGAATGCTCAAAGAAGTATTTGATATGGTCCACTCTTAGTATCATTAATATCAAACTCACTGTAGTATGATAAATCCCTGGCAAATGTAGGAAACCAGAAAAGGCTTACGTAATCACTTGTCCACTTCTTAATTGTGGCGACAACTTGCAGTGACTACAGTGAGACTGCCAGCCATTCTTGTAAAAAAACACCACCAGAGAGGGCAATTAAAACTGCTAGTTTATTTTCTGGCAGTCTGCAATACATACTGGGCCACTGAGGGAGAGCCAAAGACTGCTTTAATCTTCAAGAATTAGTAATAACCTGCTGTGGCAAGATTTTAGAGATCGGACTGAATCCACGTTAGTTTTATTACACTCCCAAAACACTGAGACCCCATACACACTAAGATTTTCTTATGCATTTTAAATGCCACATGGATTCTGGCACTAAACATCAGATTTTGTTTATTGTTATTATTTTATTTTCTTTTATAGTTTTCCTTCCTGAGTTACTTCCCCTCTCCCCAGGCCCGTCCTCTAAATTTGCTGTGACTGAAGAATGCATTTCCTTCTATAGCCATCTCCAACTATTTGGCAGAAACAGCTCTGAAATATCACAGAAGAGGCGGATGGACTGTTCTTGGTGTGACTCCCAGGAATGAAGGTTTGCTTGCCAGTGGCTTTAGTTTGATTGGAAGAGACAGCTGCTATCCTACAGCCAAGTGGGAAGATTAAATGATTTGGAGACGGTGAGTTCACTCAGGAGAGAAGGGGTGGAGAAGACCGTGTCTTGGCACAGCGAGCCTCTTTTGTGTTGGGATAGCAAGTGTCTGGACTAGGCTGTGCTGGGAGGTACAGAAATGACTAAAACAAATGGTCCTTTAAACCTAATTTGGAGCACAGCCTACAGCATGGCTGTGGCGCACTTGAGATAAATCCTAGAAATGGTTGGAAAAGTCTGCAGCAAAAGGCCGTATCTTACTTTTCAATTGCTTAGCAAAGATGAAAAGTCCCAGTAGAAAAATGGACTGGGTGTTGAGAATGGCAGACTATATGATATCTGGGAAACATAGTACCTGGTACTGCCTGTGGGACAGGAAGAGGATTTGCCATTCAGAGAGAAAAGCACTGTGGTGTGTTCAAGAGCCCAGCTACCCTTGAACTTGCTTCCTGATTCACCAGCAGAGATTGGTGTGATCAGGAGAAAGATTCACATTCCAGATGTGCATCTGTGTTTCTCTCAGCTCAGTTGCATTCTGAACAAAGGGTCCCTTAGAAGATGCTTCCTCCCCTTTTCAAAGCAACTCAGAGGCTTAAAGTCAATGTGAATTGATTTTATAGGAATTACTCTGTGTGTGTATTCCCTGTTTCCTCAGTTGGCATGATCACCTTCCCATTTTTTTGCAGAGAGCAGACTCTGAACTCAGCCCTGCACTTGGAGCTCCTTCAAAATCTGAGCTTTATTACTCTCTCCATATCTAATCAAGCCTTTCAAACCTGTTCTGCACCTCTTTACCTCCTGTCAGATCTGCTAGGCAAGCACTGACTGGGAAACAGGAAAAGAAGCTTTACTGGGTGAGATTTTTGTTTTCTGTTTCCCAAACAAGGCCTCTGGCTAGTATTAGGAAAAAAAGATTTTCTGTGTCTTAAGAGTTCTTCCTGGTTTGCTGGCAAAAACAAGGGACAGGTTTAAATAGCTCCTGGGTGGATCTCCTTTTGAAACCAAAATCCCCAGCTGAAGTTCTCTTGCACATTTTGTGCTCACCTGATGTGCCCCTAAAACAAAACACATCCTTGCCTCCAAGCATTAGAACTTACAGGAGATACGTG